TGCACGGGCACCAGTCAGCGGCACGTCTCTACGGAGTCACTAACGCGGTGCAGCCAAGCTACCCAAAAATATCAGGTCATTTTGTAATTCATAACTCCAGCTGTACTCATTCTACTTGCTTTCAAAAACCAGCTGTGACCCAGGCGTGCTGCATTACTCCGAACCCAAGTCCACCAGAAGCCCCAGCTACAGACTGCACGCTGGTTTGCCCTTTTTTCTGTAGGACTCAGGATTAACAGCTTCACAAACGCGTCAGACAACGCAACTCGTTACTGAGGAAGCGTGGCTGTTTCAGGGGAGCTGAGGCACTTCACACGTGAACTGCAGCCCAGGAGACACGACACAAACCTTGGTACAAGGCCCCATCAAAACCAGACAACAAAAGGTTCACAGGAACGCGCATGGAAACAAAACAAATTCATTCAGGAAGATGGTTTGTCAGGCACTTCATATGAAGCTAACTTTTTCTCTTACAGTTTCAGCTATGAAGTACTAAACTAAAATGTGACCAAGTTGTAGTTTAGTAGACGGAAGACTGAAGCTCTGAGTTTCAAATTTTCCTGTCGTTTAATTATTTGTTTACAGCAATCAGTGGGCCTGAGTGACAGGCATTATTAACAGTTCCTTTCCTAGAACAGTTTTGAGCACTCTGAACACACGGGAGGTCACCTGTTTACAGGAAAGAGCCCTCAAAACTATTGCCAATTAGTCTTAATCCTTCTTACTCGCGAAGGACTACGGAGAGGACAAACCCCGCCGTGGGAAAAGCACCGTGAGACCAGAAACTAACAGTCAAGGGCCTGGTCCCGCCTGGGAAACAGGAAGTCACCAGGTTCTTAAATCATTGATTGAATCCTTGAATCCAGTGCCGGTGGCTGTTTTGGTCACCTCGGACTTCTCCCAATCTCCGTTAGCGCGACGGCAGATCCCTGCTGCACTCACACCTCCACCAGCTGTACTTCCGACAGAACAGCGGAGCCGGCGGTGGACTGATCAGAACCACTTTGTGTCTTGTATCTCCTGTGCATCTGGAATTCTGGCACGTTCATCACTGTGGATGTTCAGGTAAGATGACAGCTGGCGGCAGAGCAGAACTCCCTAAGCTCACGCACTCTCTTTCCATGAGCCTTTTGGTCTCACGTTAGAAAAAATGTTTAAATAAAATTGAAAAATGGATTTTTCCGTCTACCTCATTCTTTGTATTCCAGAACATAAAATACTGGTAGTAGAGGGAAATACCCGTAATGAAGACTGCCTTTAAAACACTAAAAACACCCAACCCGATGTGCCCCGCAGCCCTGACCACAGCCCTTGCTGCCCAGCGGAACCGCACCCACGCTGAGCGAAGAGCTTTGTGCTTACCACGAACCCACGAGTCTGGCCCCGCGGCCTCTCCTGCACCCGCTCCCGAGGCGGGGACAGGTTACAGCTAAGAGCAAAGCGCTGGGATCGAGGGGCCACTGCTGCCTGAGGACGTTCCAAGTTGAAACCATCGGAGTAGACGGTCAATTCCTGCGATCAGGTATCCTGATCGTGTAAGTTCTAGACAAGACCCTGAGCTTCCCGAGCCTGACTAATCTTTGAGCATCTCCTCCTTGCGATGGAAATCGTTACTTTGCTTCAGGACGTTATTGCGCAGGGCCCTGCAGGTGCCTCTCCAAGTCAGGCGACGGACGTGAGGGTTGGGATCATTACCCAGTGGTTCAAGATTTCATCTCAAAGGTTTCTGATAAACTCGTGTGAAATAGCCATGAGCCTCAACCCTGTGAAACCACGCCTGAAAACCAAACCCCTGCCCAGCTGCAAGCCTGCCGCGATACAGCTGTATCCCGAGAGCCTACGAGGCCACAAAACAGACAGAAGCTCCGTTTCTGGGCCATGACGCGCACACAAGCTCCAGAACGAGTGACTCAACGACAGTAAATCTTCATCTTAGCAGCGAAACCAGCGCTCAGCATTTCTGTCACTTTCATGGGTTTTTTTAAATGCAAACACAGACAAATGGGAAAACACTCCCAGTTCATTCTTGCCGTTGGAACAGAAGCAGAACCTCGCTAAGCCTCTCTCTGTCTCTTTTTCGGGCTTGGTGACGTGCTGCTGCTTGAAGACGTGTTCTCCTGAACTCGGTTTTGCAACGCTGCAGCTGCGCACCCCCAGGCACGACAAAGCACAGCAGTTACCAACGCTGCAGCTTCACAGAAACTGCTCCAAAGACGACCTTCCACGTGTGGAGAGAGAGAGACACGTAACGTCACGTACCTTGTCCATCAAACTGCTCCTGACCCTTTGCCGTTTCGTACGTCTGCGCTGGCTTTCGGCGCAGGCTGCTGCGCTGCTGTCCGTGGCCCTAGTCGAGTTCTGGCGAAAATCCGTGCTGTCATCGCTGGACGTGTCCGACTAGAAGAACATTTCACAAACACTTCAACAAGTCAGACTAACACAAGCAATACTTCAATTACAGTCATCCCTCAACAGCTGGTTTTTTTCATCAACACCTGATTTTTTGGGATTGATTTGCTATGGCAAAATAATGCAGTAACGCTAATCATCTTGTTAAGTACCAAAGGAACGGAAAAACATGTTCTTTGGGAGAAAAATCAGGGCAAATGTGACAGGATTTTATTTATTTCTTTATTTTTTTAATGCAAAGCTTTGTGGAAGAAAGGTTATTTTACTGCCTTCCACACAGGGAGAGGCTCAGCTGTCCTGCCTGCAACGATATTTCACTGCCCAACAACAACTGCAAAGTCATCTTTGGAGACCTCAGGAGAGAACTGGAGGAAGGAAAGCCCTTGCAGTCAAACACACCTGAGGTCAGAGGGCATCAAGTACTTCTCAGGAGAACACCTGCCAACTGGCTGGAGAAAGGGCGCATGCTTGTCTAAAGGTGCACTCCATAATGCTTAAAGATGCAGCCCAGAAACGGGCTGGCATTATTTTCCTTCTGGCTCACCGCAGCACGCACTCACCACGGTAAGCAGGTGTCGACGTTTTCTGACGGCACGAACCGGCGATTCCAAGTCGCTATCGTCCATACCCTACGGAAACAGAAGTACAATGGCAAAGAGGATTTTCGTTTTGGTGTTGGACTCGTCATTTTGCTTCTCTTCTCTTTTTTTTTATTTTTTCTTTTTGTAAGACTCACATCAGGAGACTTCAAAACATTCTTCTTTTTCCTATTTTTTCTCTGGAAAACAATCTCTTCTTCACTCTCACAGCTGGTTCCTATAGAAAAAAACCAGTAAACAACATTCACAAGAAAATGCATTGTTCACAATACAATATTGCTACAACTGAGCAATCAAAATCTGTCTCTTATAAAAGTACCTACAAAGGAGATTACTTATTGATCTGTGGAGCAAATATTGTTCTCTTTAGCCTTGTTAATCAAAATAAATAATCTCCAGCTGCGATGTACAATAAATCCTGCCTCCCTGGAGAGTCTCTGAGTGGAAGTGATTACCCCAAGCAGCACAGATGCAGAAAAAGGGAGGTGAAAACTGAAGCCAAGAGAAGCAGTCCTTAAAAGCTGAGCCAGAGTTACACTTCTGGCAGCGTTCTGTAACACCCAGCCCTTTGGGTGCACGGACCCAAACCAGAACTCACGGAAAAGCCCTCTTTCCAACGCCTGCAGCCTTTTTTGTTTTGAGAAAGGACTGCCTCTCTGAGACACGAGCTCTCCCTTCCCATTCCGCACGGCACAGCTCCAGTTCCGGCAGAGCCCCTGCCCAGCAGGACACCCTCCCTGCCCCCCGCAGGCTCCCCGCTACCTGCGGCTGCACGGCCACGCTGGCTCCTCTCTCCCTCTGCTTCCCAGGGACTACGGCAGGATTGGGTGGGAGGCAGGGCTGGTCCTGACCAAACCACTAAAAGGTTTGCCTTTCTTTAAGGAAAAGCACAAAATTCCACTTCGAAGAAAACGTATTTAAATACCAATAAAGATCACTTCGACAACACACGCTGCCTGGGGAGGTAAGACCCGACTGGACAAAGGCCCTGAGAACCTGCTCCAGGTTCAGGATGAGCCCTGCGGTCCCAAACCAGCCATTTGCTTCTTTCTGTGGGGTTTGGTGGGGGGAGTTAATTATTTTTTATTGAATAGTTTACAGTTTTCTAATTCAGTAAACTAACGTATCAGTTTGAAGGTGTGATGACTCAGGAAGAAAGGTGGCGTTCGACAATCAATCATCTTCAGAAAACACAACAACCATCAGACGATTTCCAAGAAAAGGGAAAAAAAGGTGCTTTTATCGCCAAAAGGACTGTTTGTGCTTTGTCTCAATGGCTAAGGACAGTAACAAAACCATTCAGAAAAACTCAATGTGCCCTATGAATCAGACCGAGTACTATTAACCCTGAATCATACTGGAAGTAATTCAAGGTTATTCAGAGATAAATACCACAAAGGGTGTGAACATGACCTGCAAGGGACCTACGCGTGAAGAATGATGGTCACTGATATATGGGCAATATCTGAACACAGGGGCAATATCTGAATACAAAGTATTTTTCTAATACTGTATTGGTCCTAAACCAGAAAAAGACAGAAGGGGAGAGAGAAGGGAGAAAATAAAACAGAACAGAGCCCACAAACAGCCAGTATTTTTAAGACAACCCAGGTTTGTGCTGAAGTTACAATCAGAACATTTTAAATAAAAGTCAGTTGTCACACAACTGAACTTGTGAACCACCAGAGAGCTTCTGTTCCTCAGGAACAACGACAGGCACATGCGAAGGCACGGATCAGACTGAAGTGCAACACACCCAGATGACTACGAAGCAGATACTGAGGAGATCAAGGAAGGGCTTTAAGGGCAGCTCTAGCTCACACCATCGTGTCCCACACGGCTGCACTGTCAGCACTCGTGAAGAGGAACGAGGGGTTTCGTTCCAAGCACCTCCTCCGACGGGCATGCGTGCCTCTCGGCCGCCAACGGCTGCGCTCGTACGCAGGGCAACGATTCTGGGGAGTCTCCTCACCGACCCAGCTTCCAGTATGACAACCCTTGCTCCCTTTTCCTTTCATCCTTCCCACCCAAGTCATAAAACCAAAACCTGAGGACCCAAAAGGTACTGGATCCTATTTATTTAAACTTGAGGGTATGAACGAACTGTCCCACCGAAATCCCTACCTTCGCCAGGAGACACACGGGAACCACGAACGTTGGTGTCTTCCAGGTTTTCAGTTCTTCCTAAAGGGGAATCAAGCGCATCCACGGCTGAAGCCCCAAAGTTCTGCCTGCGTGGGCTTTCATCTACTTTATCTGCGAGAGGCGCCTCTGGAATTTCCCCCCTGGCTCTGGAGAAGACGTTCATAGCAATTCTTTTGGCAGCCTTAATATTCAAAACCCTTCTGCTTGTTGGGGTGGAAAGTGCAGAAGCCAAAGCTTCAGGTGATCCACTTCTGCCTCCCGACTCGAGGAAAGGCACCGCGCCGGTAGCATCCCCAGTCCCTTCTCTGCCCTTCGTGCTCCTGCTCTGGAGTGGCAACGGTGTGGGAAGGTCTCTTCCCCCAAGACTTCTGCCATCCCGTTCTGGCGATGTTTCAAGTCTGGAGCTATCATTCAGTAATCGGTTGTTACCTTCAGTGGATTTAACATCTGCATGACTCCCCGAGGCGCCATTTAGTTTTCCGGTGTTATTAGGATTTATATTTTCTTCAAAGCTTTCGTTCTCACACTCTTCGATGGAAAAGCCCAGATCAAAGTTAACCGAAAACAGTTCCTGAGAACTGTCATAAAGGTCACCGCTATCCAGAAGCTGCTCCATCGCACCAGCACCCCCTGACACCTCCGCGGTGGTGGTCCTACTGCTCAATGGCTGCTCCTCCTGGGCTTCGTCAGCGTTCCGGCAGCGCGCCTCTGAAGGAAACCGCCCCGAGCCTCGCTCCACCACCGGCCCAGTAACACTCCCACCTGCCTCTGGCCTGGCAAAGTGCTTGCTGCTTCTCGGCAAACTTCTGTTGTTTGCGTCAGGAACGTGGTCATCTTCAAACAAATGTGTACTCTTCTCTTCATCAGTAATCACCGGGTTTTTGTTAATTTCCAGATGATCTTTGTCTTTCTGAAGGAAATACTTATTTGAAGGGTTATTTGTCAGAGCGTGATTTATTGTTGGAGTCTTCTTTTGGATTTCGGTGAATTCTTCATCGTCAAACAGACTGTCAAAGCTGTCATTCCAGGGAAGTTCCTTCTCGGCTTTCACAACAGCCGTCTCAGAAGACAACACAGTTTTTGAAGAACAGTCACGTACAGCAGCACACGATTCACTGGTGGCTTTCAGCTCGGGGTTTTCAAAGAGCAGCACTGAACGATTGACTTCTGAGGAGGCAGGGCAGACTTTGTCCCGCAGTCTCGCTGAATAACTCTCAGAAATAACTGTTTGAAAAGGACATCTTGTTTCTTCATTTCTCATCATGTTTTCCAAATCATAAAGTCTATTCAAAGAGGGAGGAGACTGTGATAAAAGCCTTTTCACATCGGAAAATGCTTGTTTTAACCAAGAAGGCTCCTCAGATAGTCTCACAAGTGCAAATGAATCCACATGGGATTCAGGAAGATAAAATAAGTCAGAGGACACAGGTGATTTCTCAGCTGTGAAGCTACTATAACCCGAATCTGTGTGGTTCGTCCCCAGCGACTTACAAGCTTTATCTGCAGTCTGGTATTCCTTTATCGCTGCACTTTCACGAATTACAGTACTTTCACTGTTGTCCCATAGGTCAATGGATTCATTTAAGTCAAACGTCACCTCTAGTTCCTCATCCTTTTGGTTGCCCTGGTCAGCACTTTCAACCAGAGCAAGCCTTCTTGCTGAGGAAGAAGCTGAAGTATCGCTATCTGTAGGCAACACAGGCACTTCCAAATGTAATCCAGAAGTTCTCTTGGGAGCCTTTGTTTTTGTTATTTTAAACGTGGTAAAGAATTCACTCCCATTATCATTTGCATCAGGTAGAAATGGTTTTACTTTTGATCTGTGTGCCGTGTCTTTTCTAGATGAGCCTGCTTTCTGATCGAGTGTGGAGCTGGTGGTGGAAGGATGACTTTTATTCCTTTGAACGCTGACATCTTCGATACGTAAGTGAGGCTGAATCTCCAGTTCATAGCTGCAGTCTCCCTGGTGACAAACACAGTGTAATATTTACTATAAATACATACAGGCTCACAAGGACTCATCATAAGGATATTGAAAACGAGTGACAAAGGTTTTCATACTCCTAAAGGCTATTAGAAAGAAGAAAGAAAAGAAAAAAAAAGGAAAGTGCTTTGCATTTATGGTCACAACTTGCAAACAAAACGTTTGCTGGCAGCAGCTGCAAATCCACGCTTGGGCAGTCAAACCTGAATGTTTCAGAAAGGCCAAAAGATTCCACGTGTAACAAAGACGGCATCTAAGAGAGCACCAAGGCACAGCAATATTCTGCCCTGAGCATCGGCGCCGTGCAGGTGAGCTCGGAACATTAACAGCCAGCAACTCCACCGGCTACTAAAGCGTGCGAGGTGTTGCGGGCTCAGACAGGCTGAGGCTCACAGGCTGTAGTTCTGCCAGGATGAGCAAATGGAGAAGGTGCTGCGAGCAGAAGACAGCCTTATTCCGACAGGAGCGAGCCTCCAGTTCTGCTCTCTTTGTACTGGCGTCTGTAACTCGGCTATCGCCACCGACGGCACATTAAGAACTTCTCACTCACAGGCTCTGAACCTATTTTCTTTTCATGGATGCTTATTAGTGTTCTGCTCAAAAAGGCACTGACCTGGGCAACCAACCTCTTTAAAAATACACTTGAAAAAAGCACAATAGACTTTGACATCACTCCCAGGTAGGTATCAGTACAAGGACTGCCCGGATGGAAAAGCTCTTTATTGATTGTCCTTCTCACTCTCCCTTTTCAATGAAGATTTCAAAATTAAAGCATGCAATCTCCGAAAGGAACAGTAAGGGTCAAATGAGGCTCTGAAAGCAACGGTTTGAAACACTCCTTCAAAGTTCAAACCTGTTTCATTAATAAACAATAAAGACAAGGATGTCAGAGCTAAACAGAAGGTACAGTTAATTTTTGGCAGTTCAGTCAGATGAACCCCTAGACTCATTAATCCCTGAAATTAAACAAGGCACCTTTATAGAACCATGGCTGATAAAACTGACTTCTACAATAAGAGGCTACCTGCTTCCTACACAAGCAACGTTCTCCAAAAGTCTTACCTTATACAAGCAGGAAAAAACAGAAAGGTCCTGATCACCATAACCTCCCGAACCCTCCTCATGGTCCCACAAGAAGATTGTTAGAGCAGTTCTACTTCAGCTTGTGCTAGCCCTGATGACATTCACCAGTCAAACTCCAACAACATGCGGATCTGCCAGCAACCTCTCATCCTTCTCGAGCTCCTCACAAGCTAGACCCTTCATCCCTATCACACGGGCCCAAGCGATGTGCAGACTCCTCTCCCACAGGCATAACCCCTGGTCTTCCCTCACAGAGAACGTGACTTCTCGTTTCCTCGACACTTGGTCCCTGTGTAATTGGGTGGCTAAGCAAGTTTCCAGAGCTGTTCTACCCATTGACACTGTGGCACCAGCACCTTGGGACAGCTGGGACCTCTGGGACACCTCTTCCAAAAGAGATTGTGAGTAACTAAGCAGTTGGAGTTTCCACAGATGGTACACCTGGAGCTGCTGTTAAACAGCCTTTTACTCTAGACCCCTTACGGGGGCCAGAGGAGTCGGTCCTGGAAAACAAGGTTTGAAAAAACACTCTGGAAAGTCATCCTACCCCGTTACACAAGGCAGAAATAACGATACCTAAAAGTACTGCCGCCTGGCTTGTCTAAACGTGTTCCTGAACACAGGACTGAAGCCATCTTCCATGCATTTGAAGACCGATCACATCCTAACACAGTTTTGGACCCTCTCTGGTTGCAGTAGATAAAGGATACTACCCAGCATCAACAGTGGTTTTCCACCACCAGTAATATTAACAAAATCAAAGGGTAGACTTTTATCACTGACTCCATCCACACCACAGAAAGGACAACATGCAGGAGAACTAAGGAAGAACCCGTGTACGGGCTGTTTTGGGGTCGGGGCGCGGCTGGGTGCAATCCTGGTTACAGCAGCGGCTCAGTGACAACGTATGCGACTTCCCCACGGTCAGCACGGCAGAGTGGTAGAGCAGGGGGGGAAGTTCAGTTGCTAGAGATTCCTCTCTAGAGGGCTGTGAAACACCCGCTCCAGTTGTCACCGCAGAAGATGCCACCCAGCTGCTGCACGCTTCCTGCCTAGGCTTGGGCTATCCATTTATAAACACATCCGAAGAAACTGGAAGTTAGGACCTTCCAAAAAGGTTCTCCAAGGAGAACCCCAGACTACACAGGCTGACTTTTAAGAAGTCTTAATACCAAAATAGTGAGGAAAACAATTACTATGAAAGGGTTAAAGGATGACTTTGATATGTGTAGGTCCTAAATAATTAAGTTTCCCTGAAGCTCGGTCAAAACACAGAGTCGAGATCTGGAAGTCTTCGTATGAAATCGGAGAAGAGTAACAAACAACAGGCAACACAGCCTGGTCCAATTAACTCCACAAATGCCTCTGAGCAGATTACACATTTGGTTGACAAGATAACAGTGTTGATAGCAATATGTTTAGATTTGTGTAAGTAACAACTGAATGTTGCATAATATTTCAATTAACGTATCCAAGCATTGTAAGACCACAACGTACATTAAACAGATTAAAGACTGGCCAGCTGCCAAACCTCTAAACCTTACTGAAACAGAAGTAGGTGATGCTCTTGCCCACCCCATGCGCTCCCACGAGGCACAGTGCAGATCACTCTTGGCCCTGTATGGTTCTGCATCTTTTAAGCAACCCAAAGTAAAGCAAGCCAAAACTAATGGAACCTGCAGGAAAAGATGAGGGTTGTGAGTAGGTAAAAGGATACTTCAAATCACAACTGAACCAGAGGTAAAGCAGATAAGAGCGAAGCATTTATGTTTTCAAACAGCCAAACCCCAAGATGTATGTTTAGGACGGTAAGAGGTAACATACCTCATCATCCAAAGGACCTAAAGAAACTCAAGAATGACGTTCCTGAATCGGTAATGGCGGTATGTTGTCCCTCACTTACACACCTCAGGAACTAGGAGATGGTAAAGGTGATGCCATTTTTTAATGGCCAGGGAGGAAGCCAAGAGAATCATAGAATGGCTTGGGTTGGAAGGGACTTCAAAGATCAGCTAGTTCCAACCTTTTCTCCTTACTGAATAAATTAGCAGCAGCTATAACAGATAACATAACAACTGGATGAGTCTTCTTCAGAAGTGTCAATATTGCTTTTGAAAACAAAAAGTCAGACCTTACACAAAGCCATGAGATTTCTTCAGAGAGACCAACAAGCAAAACCATCGAGAGGCTCTCACGCATACCACCTTCCCAGCTTCCTGAAAGGCTTGCCAAAAGTCCCTGCCAAAATCTGTAAAGAAACTGAAACAGAGAGCGCAGAACAGGGAAAGTTCTTCCGTGGGTAAGTAACTGGGGACAACACAGAAAACAGGAGTGAGGAGCTGCTACACCGAAGGACTTCTTTAGGCCATGGCATATACCCGTGATTGTGTTCTGACTTGGGGGGTGGGAAAGGTCTAGCAGAACTGCTGTGTGCTAGGACAACAGGCCAGAAGACAAATATAGCATCTAGGACAGACTTTAGTAACCTAATTTCAGGCTTACAGGCAGTTATATAACTGTTCTAGTTCAACTTAGTCATTCAAAATACTTTCTCCCAAACAAAATACTTTCTCCCAGTGAGTCTAGTTAATACTGACGGAGTGAAAGGTCAGAATTACAATTACCACATTTTAGCCTGAATGCGTACAACTTGTAGAATCTTGAATCACCTGATCAGCTCTTCTATAACCTAGTGAGCTCCAGTGTGCTCCAGCTACTCAGTAAACAGGTCATGCAGGAGCAGAAAGCCAGGCATCTCTCATATTACTGTCATAATCAACGACCTGGCTTAGAACCACTGATTTGGTTTAAAAAGCAATAGATTTTCCAATACAAAAAATAAAAAGGAAAAGTAAACTAACTTAAGATATTAAAATTTTCATTTTTAATACGTAAATATCACACATTGTTTTCTATTGCTTAAATTTAAGGCATCTATGAGGAAAACTAAAATTAACCTCTCTCCTCACGAGCTGCTCTGGATGTACATTTTCTAACGCGAGTCAGGTGCCTGCCAAAACCCTGGTGATTTTGCTACTTGGAAATGAAAAGGTAAGTCTGTAAACAGCTACGATACAGATTTTAACAATTACAACTTCTTTAATCGAAAGCTTGATGGCATCGGGGGCGAAAGCAGCACGAACAACTGGCATTTACGTCTTCTGACACAAAGCAGAAGGCATTGTCAGGACAGTTCTTTGGGGCAGATGTAGGGAAGAAAGGCTTTTGGATGGTCAGCTTTCCTACCGAGTACTAAACTGCCGGTGCAGTCAGCCACGTGGGCGTGCTTCCCGGTCCACTCATGCTTTAGCACGACTATTGGCAACAACTACAGCAGCGAGGCCGGTGGTCATCGCACAGCGTTCTGCACAAGCAGGTGGAGCAGGTCTCAGAGCAGCACACTCCAATCTCCCTGAATGACCAGCGGTCACGATCTTTCCCCTGTAGGCGATCAGTCGGTCCCCCGGCCCTCAAGGGAAACCCCTGGTGTGTGCCCTCACGCACGACCCTCGCCACGCGGCAGACAGACACCCTTTCGTGGATTCTGGACAACAAAATCCTGTGCCTCAACACTTCTACCCCACTCCCCACCAACGCTTTTGCAAGGTTTCCAACATCTCTTAGGCTGTACCTACTGTATGTTAGCAGGGGCTGGCTGAGGAAGCTGAGCTGCCCTTCCCTGGCCACGGGAGACTTCCGAGAACAGAGAAACCACAGCGTGCAGTCCTCCTCCAGCTCATTCCTAAGGAGAGAGCTTCTGCCTTTCAGGAACCCCGCTCGCCTGCCTGACAAACTCAAATATTACGTCCCTCTCTGAAACCGTTCAACACACACGTACGTGCTACCGGTTTATTAGTGCCCGGTAACAAGACTGAAGCAAGAGGACAAACGGCCAA